ATCCTCTGCTACTCGACTCGGATTGTCAATGGGGCTTTTGATGGCCTTCGACTCTCGAGCTCCGCGAAGAAACATTGGTCCAGAATCGCCCGATATTGATGGTTGTCTGCCAATCGGGTGTGCCGATGCATTGGCGTAGATAAGCGACGGTGGCGTTGTATGCATTCTATCTGGGTCGTAGCCTGGGAAGGGACACACGCTGAAGAATCCGGGCGGCCCACGTTTGTAGTCGCTGACATCACTTCGTGGAGGCGTTTTCGTCATACCGGCCGGAACGACAGATCGCTCCAGGTCGCCTTCGTCTCGAAGACTACTCTCGACGGAATGGCATTCATCCCGAGATTCCTCCGAAATGGAGGGACGGCCTTTGACTGTGGAGCTTCTGCGAAGAGCCCCCATCGTCCCAGCAACTATCGAAACTCTTCTGAGGATCTTGAGCGAATTTTGCAAGGTTGCAGATTTTTTCTCATTGTCGCCGCCCTTTGTGTCTGTGCCTTCAGCATGTGGAGCTTTAACTTCAGTAAAGGGACCAGGGGCATAGGTAAATCCAAATGGTAGGCCAGGAACTCGGCCGGTGCGCTCCAAATACTCGTATTTGTGGGTTGGCGGTTTGTTAAGCTTATCCTGAGCAGATTGATCCTGTGGGCAGTCAAAGTCGGGCGGAAAAGTCGGTGTGAATAAATTACCAGCAAAGGTGATGCGCTAGCAATCGTCAATCGACCCTTTTACATCTACCCGGGTGTCAAGTACGACTCCGATCCAAAATCTATGACAGAAAGCGCTCGATACAATCACAACACGGCTCGGGACTATGTCGTGCCCACAGAGTACCCGTCCAAAAATCAATAGAAAGTCGACGGCCACGCACTCTACTGCGTGCAAAGCACGAAGTTTCAGAAAATAAAGAGCATCCTCGGAGGCCGCCAAAATACTGTTGAAGCGCCATAGGTGCAGCAAGCCATGTCATCTTCGGGTGAGTACCATGAATGGATAGGGCACAGTGGTTGCTCCATTTGGGATCCCAGGAATCTGCGGCAACGGACATGTGATCATGATGTTGGATAGAGGATTGACAGGCAGGCTGACAACGATACTTTCTGTGTGGATCAGAGTAGCTGAATCCTCGGCGAAGAATCCAGGATAATCCTGGACTGGATGCAGCTTGCAGTAGGTCCCAGGGATTTGAAGCATTTGTCTAAGCAACTTTGCCCGAAGGGCCCGACGCGACTCAGCCGCCAGGCGTTTCTGTCGTCAAACGAAAGATAAATTACCAGAAATCACTGTTCAGAGGAGGGCTGTATCGTGGATAGCTTTGGATTTTCCGGTATTAACCGTCAATAATGGAACGTGTCCCTTCAGATCGTTGATATCCAATCAAGTGAAGCCGCCGCATTTGGTACAGCACGGAGATACAAATGGTTATTGCCCCACAGATATATGCAAACCTTCATCAAAACTTTAAGTTCCTGTTCCCACAACAAGGCGTTGAAGTTAGGAACATCAATATCCTTGGTAGACTTGAGACCCGATATCATGTTTTCGATCCCCAAGAGAATTGCATCCTCATAGACGACTGGGAACCAGTTGCTTGCCAAACAGAAACGAGCGGTGTAAAGATCCCCGAAAGTCAAATCCAAATGCGCTGAGTTGAAGTTGTGCAACTCCAGAACCGATCATTTTCCCTGTATTCCTTCCAGGACAACTACAAAGGATCAGCATCTTTGGCAGTGATCAGCTTGCTCACCTGATGAATTGAACCGCCATCATTTGTATTGCGGGGTTTGGTGAGCGCATTAAAGGGTGCACATATGGACGGAAAAGAGCTCCAATATACTTTTGATTCGCCTCTGTTTTTTTGATCTGGATTGAGTGCAAGGTACAGATTGTGTCAGCTCTTGTCAATTTCTTTCTCGGAGCTGTGCTACATGATGGAAGCGCTGAATTACTACGATTGTAATCCACGTCTCTTGCAGTCACATTCCAGACTGTGAGCCAGCAGCTCATACATCATTATTCAAGATTCCGAGTAGAGCTCTTATGACAAATGTGGCGCCAGAGTCCTGCCGCTTTCCATCAGCCTTAGAACGGATCACTTTGGGTTTGTTGTCGCCCTGAGAAAATTCTTCGTGGATAATATAAATGACCATATCCTCGAAATGCTTTGGCTGGTACTGGAGACTGGTTGAAAGTCGTCCGATTGAATGCAGCAGATGAATCTTGAAAGCTCTGTTTTCGTCAGTGAAACGCGATGAATCGTTCATTCCCTACATTCGAACAAATTGTGATGGGTCAGTGTGCATTATGATGCAAACTATGGCAAGCTTTCAATCAATGCTCTTGCTACGGATCCAAATCACCGATTCCGTGAACAAAATATGTCAGGCCGGCCATCCCTCTCTACATCAGTACTGCATCGGTACTACGGCATACTCGTGCTACACCGATACCATCTTACCATGCGTTCCTTTTCGTAGATCTGAATTTCAAGAATTTTGGTGATTATTTGCTTGAAAGCCTGTACAGAAACGAGATTTCGCCCATATGAGCTCGCGCGCTGGCGATGATCGCGGTCGAATGCTTTTTTACGTAATGAGGAATGTGCTCCCTTCGGTTCCACTGGAAAAGCGGAAGCGGATGTCGAAGCGCTCAAGCATTGGACGATAGTTACCAGTTTGATGAGGTGATCATGCTCTCGTACCCTCCCTAGATAATGGCCGAGTTCTCCAAGAAGGTACACGGCTTTAAGGCGGTTCTCAAAACGCTCATCTGAGTTTACGAGATTGATCAAGATCCTGATAAGACTCTTCACAAGCGGAATCACGTGCGGTCTCGTCAGTACCAAAGCTAAAGAACACAGTCCAATGATCGCTCTGAACGCTCTTGATGATATAGTCCAGTGATACCCTCGGAGCATCTCACCTCTCGTGTGGTCGAGTCGAGGAGAGTGTCATTGATCGATGGCAGAGCGATATGTAATGAGCACATATCGATGTATCGTGCAAACGACTCTGCCTGCGTGAGACCAAGGAGCAGCAACTTCCAGCCCCGATTGAAATGAACTTGAACCGTGTAAAAGTCGGCCTCCTCTGTAGAACAAGGTCAGACACATGAGACACGCAGTTTCTGACCAGCGACTGCAACCGAGCTGCAAAGGAAATACAAGAATAGCATCCAAAGTAGACCAAGCAGCTCTATCGCGGTATCAACAATACTATACACAAAAAAAGAATACAGGTAAACTTGCGATATTTGCCTATAATTTGCGACCGAAGCCCCTCGGCAATTGTTTTGAGCTCTCCATTGATATTAGGATAAGGCACAGAGTCGAGGCTCAGGCCTTCTAAACCCATTCCGCCGCTTGTTTGAATCGGAATGTGATTGTTGGTTTGCTTGAAGCGCTCGCCCAAGTTCAAGGTGCTCCCAGCGGCGACATCATCGTCCGGAGCTGTGGACACGTCATCCTGTACTTTCACGGCGACGTTCATAACTCGAGCCGATGAACTTTCTGATACGTGCGTCGCTTTCTGTTCGGTCGCACCCCGGGCAACTGCATGCTGAGCAGCCTTGATCTTGACCCATCCAGCCATTACAAACTCGACAGTACTGTCTCTTTGGATGTTTTGGGTGCCACACGGGGCGTATTTATGAACCGCTGTCCAGAGTTTGTCCACCATGGCCATGAATGTGTTGGTGGATTGGGCCCTGTGGTTCAGAAGCGAGTTGAAAAAGCCGAGGCGCTTCAACGTTTCGGGACATGTTGAAAGAGATGGCGGGATGGTGAGTTGAATAGGAAATCGCGTGGCAGCTAACCAAAGCCATGATATTACTCGAAAACGGTCTGTGCCAAGAGAGAGTGGGTGTTTACCACATGTTTCTTCAGACGATCCCAATCCTGCCGCGCTTTGGCACGTGCGGACTTTGGACTTCGATGTGCTGAGGGTGTCGCCGTTCGTGACTGGCGCCGTTCGCCTGAGAGAAGACCACCTCCGGCTGCCCCGTAATTGAATGAACTTTGACGTGACGTCCCACGCTTTTTTGAGCTTTCTGAAGGAGCACGCGGGACTGATTTGGAGGAATCGCTTCGCGCACTGGCAGGATTGTCACCGCCTGTGCCGGGGCTTCGCTTGTCCATCGGCGAGTTCCCACGGGCCCCAAGTTACCACTTGGAACCGGATCAAGAGCGAGACGCGTCAAGTGCCAATAGCCTGATATTCCGCGCTGCAGATAAATCCTTGGAATCGAGGTAGATACGCCTATGCTTCAGAGCCAAATGCAATGCAAGTAGAGTTCGACGATCTATTGTGCTTTGATCTGTGTAAATGTGGCGAGTATAGTATCGGAGCAGATATTCTCGATCGCCAAAGAACGTAGCAAGCACCCAGATGGAGGATGAGATGGGCCAAAGTCGGCATCTGCAGGGCGGGCTTTCTTCAATCTTGGTGGAGCAACACCTTCCAAAGCCGCCACTTGCAGTGATGGCTCTCCCGCGTTTTCCCGCCATCGCCATCGACAGCCAGGATCGAGTGTTGGACACATCACACCCATAACGAGACACGTTTCTGGACGCAGGCGGGGGCTTTCTCCGCATGTGAATGCCCACAATCCATCGCCCATCGCGGCCAAACAGTGTGTCCATGGAAACTGACACTGGTTGCCTGTGGGAACGCATCGTGAAAGCAAGGAAAGGGAGAGATATATCCGTCGAGCCCACGGGGACTCAACTTTGCTTGGTATTTCGAGCAATCCATGCATCACCGGGGGTGTCCACCAGGCCCATCCGTCTCCAAGATCCATGTGTGCTCGGTGAACGAGCTCAACACATCCCAGGTGTGCTCACAGTGCCCGGAGGCCGAGCGCCTCGTTTGACCTGGCTGGCTTGATATCGAGAAACCATGAAGCTGTGCAGAGGGTCGAATGCATCCACCACACTCCCACATCGAGACATCAATGCCTCACGGATCATGATCTGAGTATGCCAGTCCCGTCGCCACAGGGAATCGGTCGTGTATTCATGACCATGCTTCCCAAACCAACCAAAAACAAAGAGATTGCCAACCAGGACTGGAAACAATCTCGCGGCCTGCTCACTGGGGCCTACAGTCAGTCAGCGGGATTCAGACATCTGAAGCCAGGAAGGAACTGTCCTGTTTGCTTGGTGAATAGAGTGCCCATGCCTTGACCGTACCTATGCGTGTTCGTGGTCCACCGGTCCTTGATGCGACGATCCCATAGCGTGGTTGGCTCGGATAATGTCCAGACCCGTTTGACCCGATATTTCCCCACTATCCTGATCTGAGGAATCCATGAAGATCATGTGGAAATATCCCATGTGGAACAAGAAAAACACTGCAAAAGTGATCATTCCCACATTCGTCATGAGCCGAAACTGCAGCTTGCGCGCCTGATTGAGCCCCCGGTAGTACTCCTCCGAGCGGGGGTGCTGATTGCTTGTTGGGCCGCTTGGGCTGGCGCTACCTTCGTAGTGTTGTGACTGGTGCTCGGTAAAGTTGTAGGGATTCGCCTGATATCGCTGATGTGCTCGGTCGTTTCTGAATATGATCCAGTCCTCCGGTCGCATTTGCTCGCGCCGGCGATATGTTGATCGACGTGGGCCTGTTCCAGTCGAGCTCTGTCGATACGTGCTTGAAATTGCCTCTTCATAGTCGAGCGATCGGTCATACTCGGCCCGCTTTTGCTCGTTGGAAAGTATGGAATGCGCTTCATTGATTTCAAGGAACTTTTTGTGGGCCTCGTCATCCTCGGGGTTGCGATCGGGATGGTACAGCTTGGAGAGCTCGAAGAACTTGGCCTTGACTTCCTTCCGAGAGGCCGACGGGGGGATTCCCAGAACATGGTAGAGAGTCTTTTTGGATCCAGCGTGCTCCAGGTTGCTGGGAGATGCGTGGAAAAACCTTGGCAACCCCTGCAGACGGGGCCACGCTCGAGAAGAAAATACAGCCCGGGAACCCATCGGTCCGCCGGCTCTGGCCCAAGCGATGTGTACGGGCAGCAAGATCATTGTCGACCGATGGCAAGACCGCAGGGCCGCTGTCGCGCTGCGGATCGTCCTTCTGCGCTGGTGCCGTTCTGTGGCGCGGCCCGTGCTGCCACGGACCGGGCCGTGCGCTCGAGCTTGGACGAACACGTGACTTTTTTCTTGCCTGTGGCGGCTGGGTTTTGTGTCCGCTGCTCGGCGCCCGCGGCGCACCGGCTCATCTCGCAGCAAACACCGACGACGATGGCTCTCGAAGACGCAGCACAGCTCGCCGAGAAGACCGAGGCTCTCGATCTCTCTGATGTCGAAGAAGAGGATCTCGGCGAGGCAGTAGCCACGCAGAACAAGAAGAAAAACAAGAAGAAGAAGAAGAAGCCTGCGGTTGTCGCTGTTGCCGATGTCGTCCCCAGTGTCCCCGAAATCAACGTCATCCCGGCCACGCCTCTGAGGAACTCTCTTGCCCAGGAGGCAGTCGATGTTGAGGCCATCGATGACGACGAAGAGCTCAGTGGCGAAGACAACGACGACGCCCCGGGCGGCAGCGAAGGTGGGAACATGCTTGTTGCGGGCTGGCCATCCCACGCCGTGTGAGGGTACTGAGCTCTACTTCTGCCTGCTCTCATGGCATGCTGTGCTCCTTGCATCCAAGCACCGTCGCCGGGACCGCTCGCATTTGTCAATGCCCGGCTGCTAACGCAACAACCAACAGCTGCGAAGAAGAAGAAGAAGAAGAAGAGCAAGAAGAAGAAGGCCTCTGGAGGTTCGTTGCGTGTGTCGATACTCGTTCTCTCGTTCGCGTACATGGACTGACTCAATCGTGCGGCTCACATTGCTACTGGTGGTGTTGGTTGGGGGGCTGATCGCTGGCGCTACAGAGGCCGTCAAGAACATCCGTTCTGGTGTCGTCCAGACCGAGCCCCCAACAGTCCCGGTTTCAAAAATGTTCTTGAATAAGGTCTATCCCGAAGGCGAGCTCTCGGACTACAAGGATGAGTGAGTCTCTGTCGATGCCTTTCCCCGCTTTGGGGCCCCTCAACGCTTGCCTGTTCCCCGGCGTCCCGCTTGGCCCATGTGTAGTTGATGAGCTGACACACTGTTCTCAACTTGCTCATAGCAACCTCTGGCGCTCGACCAGCGAGGAGAAGCGTGCGCTGGAGCGATCTCTGAACGATACGTACAACGAGCTGCGCCAGGCTGCCGAGGTCCATCGTCAAGTCCGCTCGTATGCCCGCAAGACGATCAAGCCAGGAATGTCCATGATCGACATTTGCGAAATGATCGAAAACGGCACCCGCAACCTCATTGAGGCGAATGGCTTGCAGGCCGGCATTGCTTTCCCCACCGGATGCTCCTTGAACCACGTTGCCGCCCACTACACTCCGAATGCCGGCGACAAAACCGTCCTGCAGTACGGCGACGTCATGAAGATCGACTTTGGCACCCACATCAATGGCCGCATCATCGACTGTGCGTTCACCATGTCGTTTGATCCCAAGTACGACCCCCTTCTGGAGGCCGTTCGCGATGCCACCAACACGGGTATCAAGGTTGGTTCTGGTTAGGCTTTACTATCCTGGTCGAATCTGGTCAGATGTGTCTGGGCAGCTGTCGATCGCCCAAGCTGGCCACCAGGCCATGATGTCCCGCTTGTCTCGAGTCGTACTTCCACCTCGGGCACGCCTGGCGCACGCACTGCTTGGCGATGTGGCCATCTGTTCGACACAACGTGGCGCTGGATTTCCTTCATGGTGCCATGCCTGTCCTCTCGAGCTGCAACTGATTGTCTGTGGCTCAATCGCGGTTGTCCTCTGCAGGAAGCTGGTATCGACGTCCGCCTCTGCGATATTGGAGCAGCCATCCAGGAAGTCATGGAGTCGTATGAAGTCACACTCGATGGAAAAACATATCAAGGTGCGATCCGATGATGCGTTTCGCTGCTGCCTCGAGATTCTGCTGCCTCGAGATTTTGCTGCCTGGCAAATGTATGTGTTGGTTGCACCGTTGCGCTAATCGCCGATCCGAATCACTCCGCCCGATCAATGGTGCATTTGAATGCCGATCAGTCAAGCCCATCCGCAACCTCAACGGCCATCTTATTGGACAATACCAAATCCACGCCGGCAAAACTGTCCCCATTGTCAAGGGTGGCGACCAAACCAAGATGGAGGTATAGGATGTCTGTGTGAGACGAGAGCTCAGGGCGATCCATTGTTGTCTGTGCAGCCGACTTTGCGTGTGAACGTGAGCCCATATTGACCATATCATGGATGTGTTCCTCTGGCTGTATCAAACAGGAAGGAGAGAGCTATGCGATTGAAACCTTCGGCAGCACTGGCCGTGGGTTTGTCCACGAAGATCTCGAGTGCTCCCACTACATGAAGCGATTCGATGCCGGGCATGTGCCTCTGAGGTTTGTTGGGGCGAGTGAGCGGTGAATTTCCTACAAACGGCTGGTCCGGTGTGTCTTGTAGCTGTGCAATGGGCTTCTGAGCTGGCGACGTGGCATCCATACCAAATCCAAGCACATATGTTCTGATGCCAAATCGCTCGCTTGGACAGACTTCCCCGCGCCAAGCAGCTTCTGACCACGATCAACAAGCACTTTGGCACCCTGGCCTTCTGTCGACGCTATCTCGACCGAATCGGCGAAGAAAAGTATGGTCTTGCGCTCAAGAACCTTGTCGACTCTGGTGTTGTCGATCCCTATCCCCCGCTTTGCGATGTCAAAGGAAGCTTCACGGCCCAGTACGAACACACCATTCTTTTGCGCCCAACTCGCAAGGAGGTATGTGCTGACTCGGTGGCTCTCCTCTGGGCCACGAGTGTGTGGAAATGCATGTCGGCTATGCGACAAATGCGAGACTGCAGTTGTGGGCTCAGTTGGTATCGGGCTGGCACATGCTGGCCCTGCGCTCGCGCGCGACAGGTACTCATGTCGACCCGTTGAAAACATCTGACTCGGTGCCACTCTGACAGGTTCTCAGTCGTGGCGACGACTACTGAGCAGTCGTGCGCGATCGGGGATGGTGACTCGTTTGGGTGGCCACATCGGCGAACTGAAGTACGCGGACAAAGATATGGCCTCGGGGTCGAGAGTGGCGGCGCATACTGACCGATCGCTAGATCCTGGATGGCTGCTGAATACAGTACAGCTCGGGTCAGGGCCGCTACGACGCAAGGACGTGCGTTCGAGGTCACATGTTGATGACAGCCCGCGAGCGAGTCGGTCCGTTCAGAGAGCGCTTCCTTTCGTTGATAATGGCTGAATTCATGAGATAGATATATTTATCGAAATCATTGGACATCTCGCTGACGTCCCAATGAAACAGGGTCGCGGATGCTAGACATCGTTAGGTGCTCTTGTTGCGCGAGCGGAGGTTCTCGGGGATGCCGGTCAAAAGATCAAAAGTCTGTTTGCAGGCGACTTCGGCTTCAACTTCGGCGATGATGGGGCGCAGGTACGGGACGTCCTGTGGCAATTGACGAGACGAAGGTCAGGTATTGGTTAGCGTCTGAAGTGGCATGCCGCTGCCTGATAGCAAGTTGGCAACAGGTCATGGTTCCGCGTGCTGTTTAGCATTCGGATTTCGATCGACTGTATATCGAATGCCTTGATTGTCTTGTCGGAAGTCACATCAATCGCGTAGAAAGCGATTTGACCAACAGTGTCTTCGGTGGTGCTTGGTATCATCGCACACGAGCAAGGCGAGCCAGTGCAAGAGATGACGACACTGATAGACACGACACGATCGCCGGGGTTCAATTGGTAGCAGTTCAAAGCTGATTTTGTGCGGGTACTTGTCGAGCTGCAGTCGAAACCAAAACGAATCCATGGTGCCGCTTTGATCTTGTTGAGTTTGGCTGAGATCGTGCTGAGGCCAATACTGCCCACGCCTTGTCCCCCTCACAGCCAAAGCCACTAAATTTCCGTTGACTTTGGTTCACAAAGGAACCTTCCAGGGCGTAATACGCACCTCAGAGGGCTTGGTCTGCTCGGCAACGGGGAGAACGGTCTGGTGGAGCGAAATGTTGAGAGCGCGGCGGAAACGGAAGGTGCGCTCGTTGAACTCCTGAGGAGTCAGGCGCTTCAGGGCCTCAGAGACGATGGGGCCTTCGTCGGGAATAAGATCGTCGAACACAAGACCTGTCCGTGAGAAAGTCGGGACATGCGTTAATAATGTGGAATGTACACAGGTATCGATAGGCAGAGCAGAAACTACTGATGCAAACGTGTTGGCGGGACACGCCCGCTTCCTCGGCAACAAATCGCGCCAGGATATACATCCAGGACGCACGCCAAAGGAATTGCCAGGCACGGAGCGCCGCTCTGCCGATGCCAGATCCGCTCGGCGGGCCCAGGATGCGGATTTGTGGGCCGGCTTGGTTGAGGCATATTAGGGCTGCGGCTCGCAACTTTACCCGACTTGCGGTATCCCATGAGGTTGGCATGAGTCTCGCGGAGACTGGCAAAGGCCTTGCTGGCCTTGAACTGGCGAACGGCTTGCAGGAGGTTGTTCATTGTGCTCAAGTCCCGACGGAGGTGCTTGGATCGGCGGTATCGACACGGAAGGGCAGATGGAGAGCAGCAGGTCTGACTGGACCTTTGGCGCTGTCCTTGATGCTGGTGGCAGCGTGCGCTGTGGCGAAAAAATTTGCGACAGGCCCCGCGCTGTGGAAGCAGCGCGCACAGTCCGCGCTTACGTAACGGCCAGGCGCGCCGGAAATGAAAACTTCATGAGGCCAAATCAGGCTACATGGACGGGCTGGGACGGCCAGGACAGGGAAGCCGTGGCCACAAGCCGATCTCGCCTGCACTTGCTCGATGCAACACTCCAGCGATACGATGAGACAAGCAAAGCGGAAGACGCGAGGCGAAGAGGGGCGGGACGACGAGGATGTGGAGATGACACACGCCGACACCTCCAATGCCATGGATGAGGTGGAAGACGACGATGACAGCGAGAAGGTAATCGGCACGGGCTGTGCCCCATCGCTCAGAGATGCAGCTTGGGCTCCCGAGGAACGACCACGCCATGGCCGCAAAGGCAGTCGAATCTTGCGTGCTGACTGGGACTTGCTGGTCACGATCGTCGGTTAGGAGCTTGTGGATGTCGATTTTGTCTTTTCCGAGCCCCAAGAGATTGATTTCCATGGCCTCAAGTCGCTCCTCCGACAAACCTTTGGTGACGACGCAGATAACCTGCCTCTCTCCGAGCTGGCCAGCACTGTGATCGATCAAAGCTATATTGGGTCCTGCGTCAAGGTCGAGGGGGAACTTGACCCTTACGCAGTGATGTCAGTCCTAAACCTCTCAGCACCGAAGGTACAGAGTGTGTTGCCATAGAAACCTCTCGATCGTTCCAGAGTTCAAAGTCCGATCCATTAATAGGAAACTGGGATCCGTTGCCATTTTTCATCAAGGACCGAGAGAGTATCTCGTCAATTCGAGCCTATCTTCTCCAAAAGGCCAAGAAAAACGCGGAGATGCAGCGCAAACTGGCAGCGCTTCTGGAATCCAGCGATCATCACATTGGGCTCTTGATCAACGAGCGTCTCATCAATATGCCTCACCAAGTTGTCCCAGCAATGCTCAAAATGTTGCTCCAAGAAGTTGACAAGGCCATTCAAGAGGTTACCATCTATAGCTGGGAGCAAGGGTGGGCTGGCGAAGAGAAGCGAGGCTCAGGTGCCTTCATATACTGCGGCGATCACTGTGGCTGACCTTTCTTCACGGGATCAAACGCGCCCAGAGCAAACCGTTCAAATTCGAGTACTACATCATGATATCCAAAACGTACAAAGAGGTAGAGTCGCAGCTGGAACAAGATAGCGATGGCGAGGACAAAGTCGAGTCGCAGGAAGCATCGAAGAAAAATAAAAAGCAAAGGCTGGTAAGTCCCGCGGATTTAGCGCTATCGACAATAACGACTTGAGTCCATAGAACGTATCCTCTGACTCACTTCGTCATCGACGAACTCAACTCTCCCAAGGTCACGGTTTACTACTTTCAGCAGGAGGATGAGCTGATTGAGGAGGTCAGTAGTAGGCTGTAGCGATCGGAGATCTAGTTTGAAAGAATGACCAAATCATCGGCTAGGGGCAAAAGGAGCCATCCGCTAGGAGCAATGGAGCTATCCGCTGGGATCGCAGATCGAAATGTGATGACGTATGCCGATAACACTGCACGTTTATCAGTTCGCCGACTTCAGCTACGACTACAAGTTTTCCAAAGAGGGCTCGTCCTCTGATTCCAAGAGAGCCTTTCAGGAATACGGCATCGATCCGTCCAGAAGAGTCTTTGTCATCCACCGCTCTAAACTGCCCGAGATATTGAAGAGATTCGAGAAAGTTCTCTCTGCTTAACTCTTGGAACCTTGCATTGTTCTGTTAATTGGCATAGCGAGTTTGAAATGGTTCCCTGATAAATCCAAATCGCCACCACCAAGCTTGTTCGGAACATGAACGAGCAGCGCCGATGATTACTAGAGTAACCATGAGTCTGAAGTCTGATGATCGTTTACGGCTGCATCACCCCAGGCGTGCGATTGTTTCCAGTCCTGGTTGGCAATCTCTTTGTTTTTGGTTGGTTTGGGAAGCATGGTCATGAATACACGACCGATTCCCTGTGGCGACGGGACTGGCATACTCAGATCATGATCCGTGAGGCATTGATGTCTCGATGTGGGAGTGTGGTGGATGCATTCGACCCTCTGCACAGCTTCATGGTTTCTCGATATCAAGCCAGCCAGGTCAAACGAGGCGCTCGGCCTCCGGGCACTGTGAGCACACCTGGGATGTGTTGAGCTCGTTCACCGAGCACACATGGATCTTGGAGACGGATGGGCCTGGTGGACACCCCCGGTGATGCATGGATTGCTCGAAATACCAAGCAAAGTTGAGTCCCCGTGGGCTCGACGGATATATCTCTCCCTTTCCTTGCTTTCACGATGCGTTCCCACAGGCAACCAGTGTCAGTTTCCATGGACACACTGTTTGGCCGCGATGGGCGATGGATTGTGGGCATTCACATGCGGAGAAAGCCCCCGCCTGCGTCCAGAAACGTGTCTCGTTATGGGTGTGATGTAAATGAGACGCCCGATATCCTGTGTGTGGAGAAAGTTGGACAGTGTTCACCAGTCGAGCTCTTGCTGCGATGTCGTCTCGCTGAGCCGCCGTATCTTTGGTGTTGCCGCCCATCGTTGCTGCCAAGTCCATCTTGGCTGAGTGCCAATGGATTCCATATGGCCATGGAGTCCCACAAGACCTTGGATCTTGCTTGTCCAAAGTTTCCCCCCCCCACTCATCGATATCCGTCAGCGACGCTCGATTTGCACACCTTGACCATGTCGTCTTGATTGCGTTGGCGTCGCGATATTGGGCTGTGGTGCACCGATGCGATGGATTGCGGGTCACCAACGACATTTACTACGACATGAACGCACCCCGATGGTCCCATGAAGTTTATTCTTCTCTGGTGATGGTGGTGGCGGCAGTGGCGGAGCTCGCGGGAGCTTGTCGGAATGGAAGGAAGCAGACGAGGGCTGAGGGCATATTCCTTGTACAGCTTCCACGGTGTGGATGG